CATGAAAGCTGGTTACTGGCTGTGTCTTCCTTGGCCTGTAAGCCCGCCTACTGCGGTCTGTTTAGCTTGCAAGCAGGCTCTCATGCCTGCATTTTGCTTTTGGGGCCTTTGTAGGGCACTGGTACCTATTAAATCATTGGCAGCCATTTATGGAAAAAGGTATCAAAACTCCTAAAATGATGAATTGATAATTTTTTATTGTTATTTGAAAGGGTATGCTCTCAGTCTTTTAGCTGGTAATGCTACAATGATTTCTGAGGACTTCAACATGACAGAAGTGTTCACAGTATTAACAGAGGTGATCAGAGACAACTTTCGGAATGCCAAGCTCAAGCAACATCTTTTGCCTGCCCTGGGCGAGTTTCTGTTTTATGCTGCGACTCAGGAGGAAAATTTAGGAGGTGAAATTCCACAATGGGACGTTCCAGGTAATGTGTTCAGAGGGTCAGCCTCGTACAGATAAGGTAATTGCAACAGGCCTTCTTTAAGCATTTAGGTGTTGTTGTTTTTAGTTGTCAGGTACATGTGTGTAAATGTCTGATTATGGAAATGCAATCCCTTTTATTAGTCCAGTGTTCAAATAATGACATACAGATGGACAAAGAATTTGAAAGGATGTGTAGGCAAACGATTGAATGCAACGCAAACAAACCAAATCTTCCATCGGGGGTTTATTACAAACCAACAAAATGACCAGCTCCCAGCTGGCTTGTTATCTCAGGTTGTAGAGCACTGCAACGCTATTGCAGAGATCATGGGTTTAAATCCCGTACTGGTCTGAATTTTTTTTCAGGCTTTTATTTTCACTACTGCTTCAGTAATGTTCATTACCGGGAAGATCACTTTCATCTTCATTTATTATTCCGCAGTTCAAATAAATTATATGATTTTCATATGTTCATAGTTCTTTTCTCATCTTGTAGTATTGTTCTACTTCATGTTCGTCAAGTGCCCATAAATAAATTTTGAAACTTAACGGACATAGTCTAGTGGTTGAAATCTGCAGACAACAACCCCGCATAAACACGGACATGAATCTCAACTTACGTACTTTAAACCTCTGGGATGGACATCCATCGTTCTGAGCGAAACTCATGCTGTACTCATTACTCAGTTCTTTCACGATGCCCTTGAAGTGGAACTTGGAAGTATGTCGTAGTTTTACTTCCAGGTATATATGGAGGCGGCAAATGTACTTTGCAATTACAACTTGGTTGTATTTCCTTTAGGAGTCACATTCACTATTGTCACCAGATGTCTACATGAGGGAGAAGATATCGCGGTGCAGCACTTTGCAGCTAAAGCCATTGAGAACGTGGCGTCAACCCATGGCAGACATTGCACGAAATTTGCCACAAATGACACGGCTCAGGTAAAAACTAAATAAACGTTGAAACTAAGAGGATTAGAACCAGTCATGGCTGATCATCGGAATAAATCAGAACCGAAGTAATTACGAAAGCCAATCAAGATTCGGAGTTAACTAATTTACTCCTCGAGAACTGAGTGGCGATTGAGCAATTTTGTGTTAATTGCAAGAGAAAACAATTTAATCGCAAAAAGGTACAATTGGGAGAATTTTCTTTAAAGACACAGTTATGATGATAGAGCGTTATCAACAAACAGGTCATGAGAATGAACTAAAAAATCAGGTAGATGGTGTTGTCCTGATAGAAGTGAGGTTTACAAATCATATCTTATTTTATCGTTATCTTTGCGCAGCTTCTTTGGAATTTCTTCACTCACTGTACCATTGATGCTCAGAAGGTGACAGCGATTTCAGCGCTCAGTCGCTTGACAATTAAATCACCTACAGTCTTCCAACATGTGATTGAGAAGGCAGGTTTCAAAGCAGTAAGC